TTTTGAACCATATTATATATACATATATCATAAAAGTACCCATGTAAATTTTGTATTAAATTATTGAAAAATGCAATTTAGAGGTAATGGAATTTGTTTAAATTTTAAATTATTGATTTATGAAACTATTTTAAAAAAAAGCTATGTTTTTTTAGAAAAAGGGTTTAAGTATGAATTATTGGCATAACGATTGAATTTCCGTTATGAACTAAGAATAACATTTTTTTATGAATTTCACAATCTTCAAAGCATTTCAAATTTTCATCCAAATTTTGCACACTGAAAATATTAAATATTTTTGAATCTACTGGTTTTTCAAAAAGTGATTTTTTTCTTTCAAATGATTTCCCAATAATCATGATTTTGTTATTTGGAGTCTTTACAATATTCAAACATTTGATAATTTCTCCGGATTTAGTCAAAATATAACTTTCGCGATCAACTTTAGTATTTAAATTGAAGGAGTTTTTTATTAATTTGTAATACTGTAATCCATTAATATTTTTTACTAAAGGACCATTTTTATGACATTTTAATAATAATGTTTGTTGATTTGCTGAGTGTTGTTCTGATAAATTTGAATTGATATTTTGATTATTATATATTTCATTATATCTATTAATTAATTGTTCCAGTGGCTTATCATGTTTCCTAATTCTAGATTTGAGTGTTTTCATGTAATTCTCGAATGGAAATGCACTACATTTATCTAGTGGTCCATGAGTTCTATAGTCATCAACTATATGTAAAAGAMCATGAATATTGTGAGAAATATGCTGACGACCATACATTTCATCAAATGTTCTCACAAAATAGTCCAACAATGATTCAGCATAATCTATATAACACTCATAGTCGGGGCTCAGTAATATCAATATCGAAACATATAAACTCATAAAATTAGTATAAATATTCTTATTTAAAATGTCTTTAAGTACAACAACACCAATATATAATATAAATAAACGCAATTCCGTCGCTTTCCCTCTACTAATGTCTTGAATATGTCTGGTTTTTCTCACAAATTCTGACGGAATGAATGGTTTGAGATCTAAAAGTGATTTACTTAATGCATGAATACTTTTACTTGGAAGTCGAGTTTGCATTGGTCCCTTGTGCATCCAAAGTGTAATAAGTTTCCGTGTAACCCCAAGACACACCAAATGCATATAGTCCAGAGGAAATGCACGAACTATATCTAGACCAGGTAACTCTACAAGTTTTGAAATTGTTCCAATATGTGAATCTTC